GCGTGTTGAAGCCGCTCTCGCCTCCTGTCTGCACATCGACGTGCGGACGTTTCGCGGAATTGAGCGGTCCAGAGGCTGGCGACAGGGAGCGAAGCCCATTCACTTCGTCCTTCGTTGTTGGTGTCATGTCCCGTCGTCCATACCCTGAAGGCGTTGGAGTGGGCGTGCGTGATGTCCTGGAGGCAGCTCTTTCGCCTGCCTCGAGCGGTGCTTGGTTGTTGGTGCGCTCGAGCGATCTCGACTCTCGCTCCGTGTCATCCGTTCCAGCGCCTGAGTCAGCCGAGGTGGCTTCCGCCGGGGCCTCGGTGGTCGCCTTGGCTGGACTGGTCGGGAGATCGGTCACGTCGGTGCCGGCAGCTCGCGCTTCGTAGACGCTGTCGCTGGGGATCGCGCTTCCTTGACTGCTTCCTTCCTTGGACATCATGGCAAAGTGCGTGCCTCGCCCCTCCACCGGCGAGCTTGGTTTGCTTGCGTCCCCAGGCGGAATGAGGACATCCTCTGTGTTGAGCACAGCGGCTGCAGCGCCGGCGCCTGGCACAGCGTGAGCGGAACGCGTGTCATCCGAGGGCGGCAGCATCAGTGACGGCGAAGCGGATCGCTGGTCTTCGGAAGAAGCAGTGCGGTATCGGTCGGACGGCTGCGAATAGAGGCTGGCCGGTGGAGGAGAGCTGGGGGAAACGTGAGAGCTGGGGATGGCGGTCGGAATCTTGAGGTAAGACGGGAGTGCGGTCAGCACGCGCTGGGATCCTTCTGGCTCGTCGCCGCCCTCCCCCATGTTCAGAGGCTGGGAAGAAAGCACGGGGCTGGAGCCGCCCATGGGGGGAGAGGCAGCGGGGTTGGTGCCGATGCTGATGCCGATGTTGGGGAAGAGGCTGGTCCCTGCTACGCCAAAGAGCGGATGGCGGGTGGGTGCTCTCGAAGTGGCGCTCGGAACCTGCTGAGGCTCCGAGCCTCTGAGACTACTCGCGGGTGCGGCCTGTGCTTCGAGACCCGAAGACGAGACTCGCAAGCCGCTCGAGACACCGACAGAGGCATGATGGCTAGGCAGTCCGGATGCATAGTGAGCCTGCGTGGCGACCGAGGGGGTTGGATGCGGTGAGACGTAGTGACGAGGATCAAAGCCGCCTGGAGATGCTGGGAGGGTGATGCCTTCAGTGAGACGGCGGGTGCGAGGATTGGCTCGGATGGTGGTTTCGATCCCCGAGCCGCCGGAGGGATTCGAGATCTCGTGGCTCGCAAAGGAGCGGTGCTTGTCGTCGGTGGGTGATGCCGCTAATGGAGAAGGAGAGAATGCTGCGTCTGAAGGGAGTTCGCGGCCTTCCTTGACGGTGGCCGGCGTGTCGGTGGTGTTAGCAGCAGTGGTGGAACCTCTCCTTTGGTTGGCCAAGAATCCGGTCACGCTACCGCTACGCGACCGATCTCGTTGAGGCGTGGTAGCGCCGTCATGACTGCTGGCACGTCCAAAGAAAGAAGCTGTTTTCGCCAACCTAGAGCCGGAAGGTGGACGATCGGTGATGGGACGTCCGGACACCGCGCCATTGGCTTGTGATGACGGGTGGCTGTGGCCCGGCTGGTGGCTGTGATACCGCTTGAAGCCGGGGTCGACATCGGCGTCCGTTTGTGCGGCGGCCGCGTTGTCGTCGGGCTTCGAGTTGGCGTTTCCCATCTCTGCAGTGTGTCTAGCGAAGCCACTACTGGGTCGTGTCCGTTCTCGCTTTGCTTATGTCTCTGTGAGGGAGTGCTGTGGTAGCATCCAGGAGGTAGCGAGCGTCTAGGCAGGGACGCGGTGGGAGGAACGTTGTAGGTAAACGGCCGGCGACGTGAGCCGAGGACCGACGGGCAGGGTGGTATGGCTTCCACGACTTGCTGGAGAGGGTATTATCACGGATGCATGCCGACAATGCCTCAAATGACGTCTGCTGCTGAGGGTAGGAGCGGCTTAGAAGGACGAGCGTATGCTGTTGTGTAAGGTGTATGCGACAGAGAGGCAGGCGCAATGCGGGCTGCTAGCTGGCGGTTGGCCGAAAGAGGTGGCGTGATTGCGGGAGAGCGTGATGAGATCGTGTTGAGCTTAGGGAGACGAGACAAGGCAAAGGGCCAGTAGAACGATGAGAGCGTGGTGGAGGAAAGAGGAGGAGGAGGAGTGATATCGAAAGACGGTGTCGATAAGGAGTTGCTTGAGCGAAACCCCGCACAGACTGACTGGCTACTGTAGCCGATTTGGATGTGTGCATGGGCAGCCGCGAGTCGAGAAAGTTGGTCTGAAAGGTGTCCAAAATCAAGCTTCTGTTGCTCCAAAATCGGGCTGCACAGGCATGCACCTCGCCTAAAGCCAGCCAGCTTTCCACTCGCGCACAGAGTCAAAATGGCGGTTTTGGCTCAGTCATGTCTGGAAAAGCCACACACGACCTGCGCTAAAATATGTGATTTTCGCTCTGCAGGGACACGAGCCTCGAGGCTTGAGCTTCCCTCTCGCGCACAAAAAAAGGATGACCTCGAACACCTGTGGTGATCTAACAAATGTCCCGATTTCTGAACCATAGAGAGACCCATCAACGCTTGAGGGTGAACCACAAGGAGACAACCTAGACAGCAGGACACGGATCTCGACAGGCTGGAACGTGGGGGATTGAGAACGCTGGATTCGCAGGGCGACGTTGCCGTGACGGTCGTGAGCAGCAACTGTCTCGACTTTGAGTTTTTGGCGGCGCGTTGAGTCAGAATCGGTCGGAGAGTGCGTCATCGGATAAGATTGACAGCCGTCATCCTTGTTCGGCAACGGCTCCTCGTCTGGCGCTCTCCACTTCGGCTCTTCTTGCCGCCGCTTGCTGCCCGGGAACCTGGGCGAAGTGATGCAATCAATGGCTTGACTTGACGAGAAGCGTGGCTGAGCTGACGAACAACAGGCTTCACAATGACGCTGGTTCAAAGCACAGCTGATCGCCTTCGCCCCGTACCACCACCACCCCTCTCATACCTCTACACAATGTCGTCCGCCGATACCGCCGCAGCAAAGAAGGCCGCTGGCCAGCTCCAGCAGGACCAAGCCGATCTCAACAACTCGCAGGACCAAAAGCAGAGCGGTCACGCAGAGTTCCAGCAGGGCACGGGCATCGAGAACGCCGACAAGGAGACCGGCGCATCAGGGTAAGCCCAGCTGTTCCATGGTCGAGACCATGCTGCATTCGCTAACACCCTTGCTCCCACTTTAACCGCATTCTCATTCCAACCGTCGATAGATTCGGCAAGGTTGCAGGAGCCAAGGACTACGTCAAGGACCAGGTCTCAGGCGGAAAGGACAACTAAGCTTTCAAGGCATACGAACAAAGCTCCTCGCAATCTGAAGCCGAAGTAGCAGCAGCATGACACCAGATCGCGGTCTGATCGACTGAGACAGAATCTGACGGGTTGCGAATGCGTGCATGCATAGAGTACAGATGAGGACAGATGAAAGAGCGAGAACGAGGTGAGCTGGGCACACCAGCAGGTAGTGTCGGTACAGTGAGATGCGCGGTTGCTGCTGGGATTCCGTTCAAGGATCGACCTCCATACTTGGGAGGGCAGTGTCGATGCCATTATCGGTGAGCGGAGCGGCACCAATGCATTCGCAAGCAGCGCAAAGCCCACGCGTCCACACCTGCCGCTCCCAGTCGTATCCACCAGCTCGATAGCGTGCGATCTGCTCCTTGGTGACCCACGATGCACTGAGCCACGGGTCCTCGTAGCCCGCCGCACCCTTGACGCCTTCGAGTCCTCCCAAGGCTGCCGGCGCCTTGTGCACGTCAAAGAGCGCACTCGCGTCATCGAGATATGCCAATGGCCCTTCAAAGTCGAGAAGCATGTCGACAGACCATGGTCTTCTGTCCAGAGCATCTGCGGCGCCGCTGCCTCCGTTCGCCGAGATTTGTGCTGCCTCTTTCTCTCGTCGCGCTGCCTCGAGGTCCTGCAGTCGCTGCTTTTCTTCCCGTTGCACCCGTCGCTTACGTTGCTTTTCCATGATCTCGTCGGGATCAGCTCCCGTCTCGAGCTCCCGCATCATCTCGAGCCGCTCCCTGTCGCGCTCCTCACGCTCGACCTCTTCTTGCTTGCGTACTCGCTCTGCGCGTGCCTTCTTTGCCTGCTTCTCCTCTTCATCTACACGTGCCTGTCGATCCGACTCTTGCTGCGAGATGCTCGCCGAGCTGGCGATCGCGGATCGATGTGCTGCTTGGTACTGTTCCAACTTTGCGTTGGTCCGTGGCAGATCGATCTCGTGGATGAGGTTGAAGGTGATCTCTTCCACTTCTTCGAGATAGTCGTTGTACGCTTTGAGATCGACAAAGTCATCTTCGCGGCGATTGAAGAGCTTGGCGACGGTGCGACGGACTGCCACCTCTCGCTCCACGCCAAGGTCTTGGAAGGTCTGCGCTGTGAACTGAACCTTGGACACCTTCTTGCCGCACTCTGGACACGGTGCTGGTCCCAGCGAGAAGATGCGGTCAATGCAGGACTCGCACATCTTGTGGTAGCATGGACTGACGAGCAGCCTCAAGCGAGGATTGAGGTAGCGATCGGTCTTGCATTGCGGACACTTGTCGTCGGAAGACGAGAACTCTTCGATGCGGCGTGATTTGTCAAAGATGGCTCGAGCACCTGGGGCAGCAGGGGCGTTTGGTCGAGAGGGTCCGCCAGGTCGGTTTGTTGTGGTGGACGTCGAAGGGCGACCAGAGCCCGTCCTCCTCATGGTCGACATGGTGGAGCTGAACAGGCGTGGTGGACCCCTGCTGTGTGGTTGAGAGACGCAAAGGATGATCGGACAGAGGTGGAGGCTTGAAAGCGCAGCAGCGCACGGCTTCGTTCTGAGCTGAACCCTGAGAGATCACGTGCGCCAGCCAGGAAATTTTGGTGCGAGACGTTTTCCATTTCTTCTCAGCATCAGAAGATCAACGACAAAGCCTTCTGCCACCACCATCATCTCTGCTCGACATGCAGTATTCTCCCGATTTGACCGACTCAGACTGAGGCCGGAAAGGTCTGAGTGTCAGCGGCGACTCAGCCATAGCACGATATTCAGATCGCCCGTCGTCGACACTACCGACAGCACCGCCGTCCATGCTTGCACCTTGCTCTGACCCTCGATACATCTTTGAGTCTCCCTCGTCCCCAATTTCCGCCCGCATTCCCCCTTTCCTATCTTCTTTGTCTCTTCTCTCAATTCAACACTTCATCTCACCACCCGCAATCTCGGTGACGCCGCCCTTGACCCTTCGGTCGAGGCCCAGCAAGTCTCGCTATCAAATCTGCCCTTGCTGCTCTGCTCTACTTTGAGGCTCTTCGTGAGCTTCGGTCGAGTGGAGCTGTGAGACAGTTAAGAGGCTTCGCTGGGTGAGGAGGTGATGCACGCACGAGGCTTTTTGCGGCAGATTGATTCCTTCGGGCCTTTAAAACCATTGTCAGGAGGCACCCTCGAAAAGAGCGTTGCTGCCCATGATGTGAGGATGACCTACTGTCCCGACATGCTCTCTTATTTCCCCTTCCCCTTCTGTCACTTCACTGCTTTCGGCGCTGCGAACGGATCCCAGTCCGTGCTCTGAACCTTCAATGTAAGTCAGTCTGGCTTCGACTGCAATTTTCGCAGACGTTGGTCGCGGTGTTGAAGATGATACTTTGTATACATAGAGGAAGCAACGGCTGGTAACCTTCCTTGTGTCGGACCAGCACGAGGCATATGTCAAGCAGAGAAGATCGCTCTTGGTTTCCAAGGTCGTGACGACTCTGCTTCGAGTAAAAGGCAATGCTGAACACTGCCATCAGGCTTGAGTAGGGCCCGGAACAGCTTGTGAATCACAGGTGCTGACAACAGCCATCCGTTTCTCTGATACGTCTGAAGGCAGCGACAATCCAGTATGGCTCTCTGTAGCTCTCGAGCGACCATGGGTCTCGTGCAATGGAAGCAGATCCAGAATGAATCTCGCTGTGCCAGAATCTGTGGACATCTTGAGAAGATCTGGCGAAGAGAAAGGGTCCCACCGCTAAGCTCGGCTCTCGGCCATGTCAAGCGCCGCACGGCTTCGAAAGCGTTCATTGACGTGGAGGTGGGGCTCGTGCTTTGCTCACATGCTTGCACCACCTCCTCATCCGCAGCGATCTTGCACATCTGCTTCCGACCCTGGAAAAGGACTCCGAGACTACTCGACGATCCGTCGCTCCGAATGATGGCCACCAAAAAGGACGACTAAGCGACTGGATCTCGACACAAACCGTCAGAGGAGGTCGACGAACGAGACCGGCGCTCACTTTCGAGTTCGCATCTGATCGCCATGGACGTCGAGGGCATCAACGTGATAGAGGAGCGGCACGAGGAAGAAGAGGTCGAGTTCATCCAAGGAGCTCTGCCATCGATCTGGCACAACACACAGAATGTGCTCAGAGACCTTGGCTACCAGAGGGCGGCCGAAGAGCACGACGATCACGATGACGACGACGACGACGATCAAAGTGGTCAACAAGAAGGGCTCCGACATCGCCGCGCAGGCACACAGGAAAAGGAAGCAAATGCTTTCACATCAGCAACTTCCGACCCGACTCATAGCACACACGACGACGAAGCGGAAGAGAAAGTATGTCGCATGTGCTTCTCCTCGGAGGATGAGCTCGGTGAAGATGGCATGTCGCTAGGGCGTCTCATCGCGCCCTGCCACTGCGATGGCAGCATGCGCTACGTCCATGACACCTGTCTTGATCAGTGGCGCCGCAAATCGGCCGCTACCGAGGCAGCTCGCGTCTGCGGTCAGTGCCATGCTCGCTACCGCTTCAAGCGCACGCCCTACTCGAACCTTGTCGCTTTCGCGCAAGCCAGCCAGATGCTTCGCATCCTCTTCTGCGTCTTGATCGTCTTTCTCGCCTCCTTCCTCTTTGGTGTGCTCGCTCTGCTGACGCTCAAGACGATAGCGACGTTGAAAGCGACGCCGCTCGCCTTCGTCCGAGATGCCGCCCTTCGACCGGTGCAGCTCGATAATCGACCCTGGAACATCACTCTGCATCAAGACGAAGCCGTCGCCGACGTATGGATGCCCGCAGACCTTTTGCAACGGAGTCGCGGCGGTCTGGTGCCGCACATCGATTCCGACGTTTATGAGAGAGCCGACCTTGAGGTCTTTTCTCGCATCAGGAGCCAGGAGCTCCGCAATCCGACCTACTGGAAGAAGATCAGGAAGCCTCTGTCTACCTTTCGAGCCAACTACACAGACACCATGATCATTCGCGCGAAGCTCAGATCCGGCGAAGACGTCTCTGAAGAGCTCGAGCGCCTATCGCTGGGCCTGCCGCTGTTCCCTCTCGATGCTTGGTACAACGAGGCGAGACCAGCCCGGAGCCAGAACTCGACGGCTGCCTCCGCAAATGGCACGGGCAGTATCCCTCTGACCGGTCTGCACATACCGTCGAGTCTACCACCGACACTTCGAGAAAGACTGGTGGGAACCGACTTCAAGTTTGGCTTCCAGCTGCCGTTCCTGTCACCCAAAACCAAAGACGACGACGATCGCAAGCATTCAGACGAGGTCGACATCTGGCAGAGACAGAACATGACGATCAAATTCGTCTACGAAGAGTCGCCGGCCGACGTGTTCCCTGATCCGTCCGAGCACTTCCTGGTGCGCAGGCTCCCGGAGTGGCTTGGCATCGCACGCTTCGTCCCCTATGGCGTCGCGCTGGCCATGATCGACCGCTTCTACTTTGTCATCAGCGTGTTCCAGCCGTGGTGGTCGTCCATCGCGCGGTCGGCGCTGCAGCTGGCTCTTCTGCTGCTCGAGTCGCATCGAGAGCTCATTTGGTGTGCGAGCAAGGCGGTCGTCGCCGGGCTCATCGCGTATATTGACGTCGAGTACGAGCCTGTCCGGTGGAATCCGAAGAACGCCGTCGTCATCGGACCGGCGAGGACGAGGCGCCGACGAGCAGCTGCTGTGGCCAGAGAGCTGGTGGTCTCGTCCGCGGACAGCGTGTTTGGACCTCTATGGCTCAACTGGTGGGGCGGCTATTCTTTGGCTGTGTACATGGGCCCGGGGCAATGGATGACCACGGAACGGGTGGAGATGACACAACTCGCTGCCATCTTCGCCCCCGCCTTCACCCTCCTCATCGACGTAGCCATGAGCGGGCTGGGGTCGTTCAGCAGTCGAGCAGCCAGGTTCCAAAAGTCGCACACGACCAAGTGGACGAACGCGGATTGGGTGCATAACGAGTACTCGGCCTCCGAAGGCTATCGCCGCATGATCGCCACGCTGCTCGGAGACGACACCGCCAGTCAAGCATCGCTGTACGATCTGTGGCTCGAGACGAGTCGGTCCAAGCTGCTGCCCGGACGAACGCGGCCGTTGCAGATGGCGTTGATGTCCAGACTCGACACGTGGAAGACGGTGATGCTGCTCGGGTGTCTCGTGACGACAACGCTGGCACTGTTGGTCGCGACAAAGCTGGCGTGGGATACGACCATCTCGCACTTTGCACGACAGGCGTGGCGATCGGTGGTGGGCATCTACCAGCTCATCATACATTCGGGCGAGAGCTTCCGACAGATGTGGCGACAGACGCGAGATTCGTCGCTGTTCATCGCTCGGTACGCCGCTGCGAGGGTGAAGGCGGTTGCCGGCCAAGTGGTGCGAAGCGTCAAGCGGCTCGTGCCCGGGAATCGCGACGTCAGTGGCGACGAGCTCGCTTCACAATCCGCAACAGCATATCAGACCGCAGCGACGCCCGACGAGACGGCAGTCCCGCCAGAGGCAGCACAGCCGGAGGCGATCCCAGAGCCCCTTCTCAACGACCCCTTCCTTCAGGGCGGCAACTCGATGGGCATCTTTGGCGCCATCCTCGGCCACGTCGCCTCGATCTACGGCTGTTTGCACGCCTTTGTGTTTACGATGCGCTTCATTCTGGTCTACCTGCCCTTTGAGCCGTTCATGATCATCTTCACGCTGCTGCAGAAGCTCATCCAGGTGGACGTGGCCAACACGGAGGTGCTGGATCGGGAGGATCGTCTAGGTTGACATGCAATCGGATAGCATCTTGGAGTTTCATGCACTCGTCCGAGAGGTTAGCATTGGATGGCGATGCCGCGTGTGGGTGATGACGAGCCTGTGGGATGACTCTTTCGGCTGAGGTGTCCGAAGATGACCATTCAGGTGTGAGATCACGTACGTCTGGTCTGTTGACCGGCCTTCTTGCGCCGACTTGTGTGGTCGCATCGCCATGATCGCGTGCTTGCTTAAAGCGCTCAGCAGAGTGCAGCCACAACGAGGCGTGATTCAGGAACACCTGCTTTTGCTGGGCCGCCACTATGTGGCCCTAACAAGCCCCATTCGGCTCGCCGCGAGGCGGTCACGATCGACTTCGGACATCGAATGCAAGCTTGCCTAATACCTCGTTGTACCGGGTGATGGTCCTCCGGAGAGAGAGAAGAGCCAAAATAGCACCCAGGGTGCCGTAAAGGGTCGAGGGGTGGGGTAAGCGAGCAAGCCCAAAATGTCTCATGCTCGATGAGTGAGCCTTCGTTGCTATTTCAAATTGCACCATCGAAGAGGGATCACGAGATCTGTGGGCGCGAAGTGGTTGACGTCAGGTACCACCTTTCGGGCGAGGAACCGGGAATGGGGCGCCGCGTGAAATGGGCGGAGTCCTGGGAGCCGGACTTGCTGTTTAGCATGTTCCAGACCTCGTCCGTCATGGAGCGGATGGCGCCATCATCGAAGCTGTTGCCAAGATTGCACACCTTGTCAACCTGCTGGCTCGCGATTCGACGGTACCACGAGCGGATCAGGACGCTTTCAGGCGGGCCAGACGTCCACGCGCCATCAAGCCACTTCGGCAGGCTACGATGACGGCACGCTGTCGGGCAAAGTAAACAACAATCGCGGTGTGAAAGAGCGAAGTTCGGTCTGAAGCGGCGCTACCCCGCACGTCTCGCTACCGCTAGCTGAGCTAAAGGAGGAAGTTCATGCGCATCGGCAACAGTAAGACGAACTTCGGCTTGAGTCGGGTGTGTACCAGAAATGGAATGCCGTGAGGGATCGAAAGCGATTCTTTCGTTCGGCAGCGGTGTGCATTCGGCTGCGATCGACGCTGGACCCCGCGACGTCATCGCGACTTTGTCGGAGCGCCAAGCGTGAGGTAAAGGCTCCGACACTTTGCTCCAGCTGAGCTGATCCGGTCGTCAACCTGACGCAAATACTTTGTTGAAGGGCATTTGCTAGTGTGGCTCGCGGGTCTAGCGTCTTCTATCTAGCGTCTTCTATGTTTGTCACGAAATGATTGAAGCTGATGGTGATGTCGGTAGGAACTGCGGGCGGTACCTCGGTGCATGGGGATCGAGTTCGAGTCAAGGCCGATCCGCTTTCAATGTTAGGCCGTGGGTCTGCTCGCGTTGATCGCGAAAACCCTTGAGTCCGCAGAACCAAAGTCTTGAGGGAAAAGGAACACCAAACAAAAGGACGGTGCGAAAAGAAACGCTCGATTTAATTCAGGCTGCAAAAAGAAGTGTCGACTACACTGCCGCTCAGACACCTGCAACTGCTCTGTGGCCGCAACCGGGCTGCTGAGGTCGAGCAGACCTTCCAGCTCATCCCAATGCTCGGCGTACACACAGCGTCGAAGTTGAACGACGATCAGCGTGTCCCATCGAGAAGGGCTCGGCCTCGGCGACGGAAAGTTTATTTCGCGGGCTTGATCGACCACGCTCTAAAAAAAAACCCTCTTTGTTTTACTTCCCTTTGTCTTGTGTCCCGAGTGGAACCTGCTTATCGAGCCACGAGAAGACGACGCCGAGGGGTATGGAACGTTGCTCGGCGGGACTGGACCGATAAGAGCCTGTTCTGGCATGTTCGATCGGGACCGGAAACGCAGTCCCGAGGAAGAGCGACCGAGAGAGAGGCACGTTGGGACACGTGTAAGGCTGGCTGCACGAGGGCCACGTCGCGAATCGGGATCAGGCGTGGAAGCACGTTTTTCCATTTTGCACCGGCGAATCGGCGCCTAGCTGCGGAAGCATGTGTCTCTCCCCCCCCCCCC